CACACACACACACTATAATTGTGCCATCATTATGCCCATCATTGTAGTCATTTGGCTGAATTAATGTAATACAGCTCATATCAGATTATCTGTCACATAAAAAGAAATTACATGTGCACTACAGCTCAAATCAGTTGTTAAAATGAGCTTGTACTTGTTTTTTGTGGTTTCTGGGTTTAGAAGAAAAATTAAACTGTGGCCAAATTTGATTAACAAACATGCCTGTGGTCATTTAATGTTTATACAATTAGAGTTTTTAATCAGCTTTTTATCCCTCATAAAGCTCTAATTTAATGTAAAAAAAACTTGTTTTAAAAGACACAGACACAGAAATGTTAGAAAACTGTCAATAAACRGTCTAATATYTATAAAGATGAACACAAATGTTTGKTTTTCCATTGTTTAAAATTATTACATTCAAACATTATGTATTTTCCACACAAAGAGTTCAGTTCTATACCACAATCAAGTAATTATGAGCAGGGCTGATATTGGAAAAACATCCTGAGCCGCATCKACTTATCAACTTTTTGCACAACAACCGTATCATTTTCTCCCAGTACACGCACCTGTTGGTCRGATRTTGTTGCCCGGTGACTAATAAAACTCATCAAAAATCTTATGCTTGATCCTCTTTGCTCCCCTTCTTTTACTCCACCTGTATGCTACTGTTCAGCTAACTTTAGCATCTACCTGCGTGGCTCATCTCTCAGGTGGAGGAATCGGTAAACAGCCTGACGGTTTTTCTTTTCTGACAGCTGTTTTTTAAAAATCTGCCAAAAATCTGATAGTGTTCACAGTTCTTTTTCAAACTTGTTCTAACCAATAAATTATATTTATTTTCATTTATTTTCAGCACCGCTCCAACTTCTGATGGATCTGATTCAAAGTATTGCTGATATCCAAGTCTCACCCCTACCTGATTTCTGATTGGCTACTAGGCCTGTCTAAGTCAGAGTTGCACCTTTGATATGTCCAGAGAAATGTCTGTGAAGTCTCTGGTTAAGTTTTTATTTAAGAATCATCTTCAGAACAATGCTTCCTGGGAGGGGTGMTCTGTGGGGCGGGAGCTACACTGCAGACTGAGCGCCAGGGAGGAGCTTTGGGTAAATAGGCGGTGCTTTGTACCAACAAGCATTTAGGCAGCCCCACATGCCTACTGTAGGAGATTTAAGGATTTCTCAGACATGAATGAGTCAAATCAACACTGGCTATGTTTTTGATGAGAAAATGACATTATAATATGATATAAAGCTCMAAAATAGATTTTGCATAATACTCCCCCTTTAAAAATGAATGATATAAAGGTGAAGTTAATCGAAGAAAAGTGAAGCATAAACCTACTAGTTTTTGTATTTTACGAAAAATTCTTCCACTTCAATCACCACTCCTGGAGAAATCTAAAAAAAGAAAAAGAAAAGGTTTAGAACAAAAAAGCACCTGGTCCTTATTATAGGTTATTAGTAATTTTCATTTTAATTATCACAATTTTAACAAGTATTACAATGAAACAAATGTCATTTAATTTTCCATGTTTAAGAATCTCTAAAGAAATATAGAAATTCAAAAGAAACTAGTTACCTCCTTCTTTACAACACGAGAGGACATGATTTTGTCAACAACAGCCGCATCTTCTTCAGTAGGATTCTCCTRCACATAAATGAAGAKGAAATGGTTCAAATTTAAAAATYCCAGTTTCTTAAAGGATGTCAGAATTATTTACAAAATAAAAATTAAAATTAAACAAATATATAATAATAAAAACCCACACAGCAAAGCTATATACAATTTAATTCCCCCTGGGAGATTGACTTTTTATTGGCACTGGTACTTAAAATGCTCAAACTGATTGACTCAGACTATAAAAAAATATTTTCATGAGTAGAAATATCGCAAATTTTATTTACTCCTTATCTCGCCATCATTGCATGTACACAATAAAAAATATGCACAGATTATTTTTTTCTATTCACATACACTCGTTTTCATTTACAAGTGTTTTGTGAAAAAAATTAAACAAAAATGTTGTACTGAATTTACCAGAGCTATAGTCCTTTTTTCAGAATAATTAAAATGTTCATGTTTTTCAGAATGAAATATCCTGCATCTAAACTAAAAAAGAAAGAACATCTGCACATTTAAAAGTGCAAAAACTTCAATATTCACTTACATTTACAACTATACAAACATAGTTGGCTTTATAATACATGGTATTGTATTGTGTAAGGAGGGAAATTCTTATTTACAATAACTGGAGTGTTTGTCTCACTATCAGTCACATCACGCTCAGTTGTTAGGCTACTCCATCACTGAAAAGACTGCAGTTCAAAAGAACTTTTACCTGGTAAAAAGTTTCTTCATGTAGGAGTAYACTCCTCTATACATTATTAAGTAATGCAGTAGCATTTTTCCTCTGCTCTGTCTTGACTAAAACAAGTGCTACATTATGGTGTTAAAATTTTCACAAGTTATTTAAAAAACCTTGTTTTGAGAATGTCTGAATCTTGTGACAAAATAGTTCAATTACTGAGAAAGTTTTATAGCTCAGGCCTTGGTCAAATTAAACTTCATAGCTACAAAACCTAAAAGGAGAAGTACTCACAACAAAAAGCTGAACAGCAGGTTCCTTGGATGCTCCAGTGTTGGTTTTCTTTGCTTTGACTATAACCTTAACATCCTCATCTGACAACCTGGCCTCCAGCTCTTCAGCATACTTCTTTCTCTTCACCTGACGGTTAGACCGTCTCTTCTAGAGAACGACAAGAAGTAGGGAGCACTTTTATACAACTTTAAATAAAAGATACATGAAATAATTTTCACAATAAACAAACAAGTTTGAGAAGAACCTTCCATCTTATTATCATTTTACAACTAAACTGTGTCAAAACACTGGTAAGATCAAGATGTTGAAAGTTGAATAAACAATTAAAACTTGTAGTAAGCAAATGTTTGTATACATCATCATAAATGTGTTTTGTGACAGAACTCCCTGTTTTATCACTCTGGCATTTTTAATTACGTACTCCACACAACTTTGAAAAAGCTTGTCATGCAAAATGATGACAGAACACAACGCAAAGAAAAGTCTTGTTTACAATCTAACACTTATATATTTATTTATCACATTTTTTCCACTTCTTGTAATGGATGAAAAACATGCATGCGTAAGATATTAACACTTTGCCATACAAGATAGATCTTCACATAACTAAATAAATTTGATTAATCACGTAAAAAGAATCAAAATTTCACAATAAACAGCTTCTGTCTAGTCCTTCCTGTCAGGTCTTTGTAATGATCACATGCGTGGGCTGCTGTATCCTGCATCAATACATGAGCCCCTCTTAATGATAATATGTAGTTAATTAGGAATAAATGCCACTGAGCCAAGTTAATTAGGTGTGCAGTATAATATCCCCAAGGAAGTACACTCTCACACCCACAAACCAAAGCTGACCAGAAGCTGCAGAGCCAAACCTGCCACATGTCACGACAACAGGACTGACGCCCTGAGGCGACCATGCTCCTGTTCTAGCTGCAGGCCACGCTACCTGAACTTCAGTCACCCGATCATCCTGAGTGAGTCATCAACAGACGCTTTTAATTAAAGCCAGGGGCGCCATTTAATGAGGGTAATTATATCATAGGATATAGTCCGGATAGGACTAAGACATGGGGGAGAGGGGTGGTGGAGCGTAAGAGGAGACTGAACCAAATGTCAGCCCCAGTCATTTAGACACGCAGACAGCAGTCACAACTTMGCAGCAATTCTTAATTCACTTATGGCATATTTATTATCAGGCTAACACATTTGGCATTGCAAATATGTTGTACATTATGAAGTATTTTAAGAAAGAAAAAAATACAATTTCTTATTTGGAGACACTTTAAATTGTCCTTGATACTCTATTTAAAATATATAAATGCAAAGAACATTTTTTTTTCTGTGAGCTAAAACATCAGAAATTCACCAAACCATTTCAGATATCAGAAATTTGAACAGGTCCACTAAATGGTATTGGAACTGAATACAAATATAGAACCAATACAAGTTCTAAAGTACATTATTTATTGTGCTGAACTTTAGTTATTTTCTGTCAAAGTAACATTAGGATCCTGACAAGCTCATGTTAGCTAGCTAAAAAGCAGGATAATAAGCCTACAGTTGTCTTCTTATTTCACTAACAGACATGCTAACACTCGCATCTCTCTGCAAACATTTGTGTTACAATAAAAACAGCTGAGCCATGAACATCTGTGTTTTTATTTTTTCGGTTCCAGAAAAATTTCCAAACGTATAACTTTAGCTTTTTTTTTCCCCAAAGAGGGGAAACATTTGCCGGGGGGGCCGCATTCTGCCATCGTTCACAGCTAACTGACAGCTCGCAGCAACAAATTGAGGAGGTGGTGTTATTTTGTGCTACATATCACCAGAAAACCTTACTGTCTCTAGCATTTAATTCAAAGCAATTTATACTGGTATAACACAAGATTTTCGTGGTTTAAAATTGTGACTATTTAAATACAAGACATACATTACTATGGAAATGGGCTTATGCCAAAATGTGATGGTTAACCTTTATTTCAAAGCAAAAATTATGAAAAACATTGTACTCAATTTAACTTGCCATTGAAGGTAAGGTTTACTGTGTGTATGTGCAGATGTAAATAGCAAAATAATGATGCCATTTGTTAAATAATACAACTCTGCTATTCAGTTTCCATCATCAACACAAAGAGGAATGTGTATTTCCKATAGTCACCCACTGCATGACCTCTGCATGAACCAGACTGATCCATTCAGGCTAAAGCTAAAGCTGCGAGCCTTCCTGTCTGCTCAGCAGCAGCAGGAACAGTCAGGCTGAAGACACCACTTCACTCACTCACTATTATCAGAGCAGTAACAGAAGAAGAGTCTGTGTCCCTCTTTGTTTGCTTTGAACAGAGGCGTGACACCACAGATAAAAATGCCAGTGCTACATCTGAATGAAATTAAATGTAATAAAACTCGAATCTCACATCAAAGTGCAGTGTAAGAGGTTGAAGTTCATACTACTAATGTCACAGCCCACGGTTCAATCGTACACAACCAATACTTTGTGTTTATGAGTGTGTTTGTTCTGAGACTCACCGAATCATCATCCTTAGATGAGTGACGAGGGGGAGGATCATCATCAGACTCYTCCTCTGAAGATCCTGGCTTTTGTTTTTTCTTCTTCCCAATCTTAATCACAATTTTCCTAAAGGTGAAAGACAAAAAAACATTAAAACGGCTTCAACATTTATATTTTTCATATATTTTGAAAAGGAATAAAGTGATGCTAAAGTCTGTCATTAAGAAAAGATGGTAGTAATGTAGCTTATCAACATAACAAATCACCGATAGGGAAAAAAAAGCTCCAGTTTCAGYGTCAACTAGCGACAAAGGTATCCGTTTGGTAGCGCCTTTCATATTTCTACATACACAGATTGCAGGAGCCACAGAAGCACATAAACACATATTTATACCAAAGTGTGTATGAGAGTAAATCCATCCTGTCCAAGTCAAAACTGCTGAAACCTAACATTATGTAGAAGCTGTGCTTTTAAGAAGGAGTTTACGCAGAAGCTTGACATAAAAACAAATCCGTTGAAAAAGAGGAAATCCCGTTTCTATCAAAGAGCATCATTTTACAGGAGTTTTACATTCAGATGTTAAAACTGCTTGTCAGGAGTTGGATAAGCAACCACTTGGGTGAAAGGCAATCTGTAAAGACAGTTATGAATGATGTTCAGACATTTATTAGGACAACGGATTGAAGGCATACATGGTTTTCCTGCAGGTTTGCCATTTAATAGAATAGTGAAGAAACACAGCTGAACGACATTTCACTTCAGCAAGAACAGATGCATTTGCAACAACAACCTCATATTCTCAGTCTAATCTTTCAGTGCATCTGTCAGTATGCAATTTTTAGCTCAAATATACAAACAATAACAGCAGTGGAAGGGCTGCAGGGAATGCCTGCAGGTATTAACATGCTTACAATGTGAGCTGCTTGGGTTTCTGGAGTGTGGGATTTAGTACATTTCAGAGGCTCCTTCTTTTTCACCACGTTCATACCGATGACATTTAACATAAACTTAATTTATTTAACAATGTCGCTGCTTTGTGATTGTTACATTTTGACCAATGTATAACAGAACCAAGACAGACTGTCAGATCCGGGAGTCCACATATCAGCAGATGGCACCAAGACCTGACCAGCTTTGCTTTCTGCAAGTGTTTCAATTGCAACATCTTCAAGTTTTTATTCACGGAAGAGCATTTTGTGACTTTTCCTAGTATATTTTCACATCACACATGTGCATGAAGAGACATTTATCTTGTACTGCCCCATTTGTTTTATCTCAAGTAAATTATTGAAACCAAATCTAGATTTTATTGGGAAAAAAAATAGAAAATCCTGCTGTCACGCGATCAGACTGCACCCCATTTTCCTCATTGAATGACCTGTGCAGAGACCCCTTCATGAGCAGGTATGTTCTCAGCTAGGAGGAGGTTTCTGTACCACTTGTTTTAATATGATGGTGGTTCCTAACTTTTTATTCTAGAGGTTTTACTTGTACTGCAAACAAAAAAAGGACTAATTTGGATAATTATATAATTTATTTAGTGGAAATACTTAAATATATTTTCTTCCTATAAAAAAACATTTGATATCTGATGAGAAGTTAGAAAGTTTGAATTAGCTTTTTGCATTTTTATGCTACTCATCTTCAAAGCATATAATGACACCGAAATGAAGCTTAATCTGAAATTGTGTTTATCAGTCTTCATACAAAAGCATTTCTTTAGACAAATCAAGTTTTTTTTCCTTCAATGCTGAACCAAGTCATTCATTCATTGCAGTCATTCACTCCAGTGATCTGCAGATGTAAAAGTGCAACACGTAAAACTTGTGCAAAACATTTAATTTTTAACATTCATAAAAGCTAAATTTGTTTTTTGTCCAGATGAGACATTTATTCCAAGTCCAGTTGTAATGAAACACTCATGCACAAAGCGGCTGGGATGCTTTATAAGTTTGCTGTAGCGTTGATTAAGAACGCATCATCTGCTTTTTAGTCACATGACACAGCGAGTCAATGTATCGAGAGGCATTCTTAGCAAAAAGAAAAAAAAATCATTTGTTTACAGTTTGTACAAAGTTAAAGTTTTTTACTTGCAAATTCAAATTGAACGAACACACACACACACATACACACACACAGCAAAAATTGTTTTTTTTCCTCTCTAAATAAACTAAATGGTCATTTTTGCAGTAACACCTCGAGTGGTGAAGTGTAACCCCATTAGGAATAAACTATAAGCAAAAAAATAATAAAAATAAAAAAGTGGTTACCTGGACTAAACATTTTTAAGACTGCTCACCAGTAAAATAAATAAATAAATAAATAAATAAGTAAAACAGCTCTCTTAGGTACAAAACAGTCAATTCTTCGAGCTGCTCAATGACGAGGAGCCATGCGCTCTGCAGGTGTCCCTGCACCCTCTGGGTGATATTACATTTCACAAATCCTCCTGACATTGTCACTTTATGGTTGCCATGCAACAATCCCATGGGAGTGTGTTTGGTAATGTGGGCGGTGACGTTCACACAGACATCATTTCCTGTGAAAAACATCAGCAGTAGTTCACGTCAATTAACACAGTGGGTGACTGAGCGATGTGTTGAGTCAAAAAGACCAAATGACCAAAACAGGATGCAGCAAATAAACATAATATTGAAACAACTAAGTGAGACTGAACCCAATACTCATCCCAAAACACATACAAGCTATCTGGGCCTTGCAGTGTCTCMTCAGGCATCACCACAACAGCTAACAGCATCTTTCTGTTCTTAATCTGAGAAAACTTGAACTGTGACTTCTGAGGAAGCAAACTCAGAATCTGAGCCAGACAGACAGATAACACAAACAGGAAATATTGATGGTGATGATTGGCAAACATGGCCTGGAATAATTGAGGCTTAACAAAATGAAAAGTATACAATGTGCATGTATTCTCTGTGTGCATCCGACATCTTACTCACACAAAGCAAAAACCTCATTTTAGTGATGGTTACAGCATGTTCCACCGTGCCGTGGCAGATAATCTGGACCACCCAGGGCTTTAATAACTTTGGTACTAATGTGCTTGTTGTCTGACTGGATAGCCTACCTGCAAGTGGAAGAGTAATAACGACTATGATGGAGAAAAAAAACACATTTTTAAATCAACCTCAGCCACAATATAATGAACCATAGCAAACACAGTAGCTATAACTTGGTCAAACTTGCAGCTAAAATTTGATTTGGTAGTAGTAGCTGAGAGTCATCCCCCATACAGACTAAGTGCTAAAATATTTTGTGACATGTTTGTTTAAAACACTGGCAAGGCAACAGGTATAATCCATTTCCTAAAAGGAAATTTTGTGTCTTATAATTCATACTTTTGGTTGTCCACTCCACAGTGTTCCACTTGAGACTTTTTCAGACTTCACTTTAAAGGGGACCTGTTACGCAAAATATTTTTTTATTTGTTTTTATAACTTGAGGTTTTTACTTCTTCCAGAAACAGTCCAAGTGCCAAAAAATACTCCCAGACATTTTTTGGCAATATGTAAATGTGTTAGTGTCAGCAAATGAGCTGTTTCAAAAACCTGCGGATTGTTACGTCACAATCCGGTTAACCTTGCAAAGTTAAAAGAGCCCAGCCCCTCACCTGATAACCCAAGCGGAGACTCCGCCCACTTCATTACAGGAAGACCACATTTGTTCTGCTGTTTTTACAACAGTCACAAAGAACAGATAGGCATGCCTAATTTTATTTTTATTTTTGATGACAAAGTTCTAGCAATATTGCCAAATAAGATTTAGTTTGCGCAAATAATTTCACAGTACACAGCAGGCTTGGCCCAAGGACTTTCAGCTGAAGGAAAGTTCTCTCCCACCTGTGTGTCACAAATGTGTTTGGTATTGCTGTTTGGCATGAACATAATTTGTCATTTAACACAAACAACAGCACACGGCCGTGATCGACTACAAAGGAGACTAGTACCTCCGTGCTGCACGGACCACCTTTCCCCCACCACAACACCAGTATTGGGAAGTGGCAGCCAACGCACGCTGGCCTCCCCAGGCACCAGTCTGTCGCTATCAAGTCCTCGCCTGGGGTGTCGTCGTCAACCGATCCGGCAGGGGGAAGATTGCACTGGAGGACTGAAGCACCGCAGCACTCATCTCATGACACCGGAACCTCCAGGCTGCAGCGATATGGGCCTTGACCGCCCCTCAGTTCATCTTCGCCGGCTTTGGGATCCAGCGATGGGCACACATTGGCCTCCCCGGCACTGCGGCGTCTGACTTCAGTCGGATGCTCTAGTCTGTCCCTATCAAGTCTGCGCCTGGAGTGGCCGCACTGTGTACTGTCTGTCTACTATGGTTGTACCACTGTGCATCTGCTTGTACTAGCCATTAGGGTTGGGCAATATTGGCAAAAAAAAAAATCACGATTAATTGTGATATTTAGCCAATAATGATTAATTTGACGATTAATCCCCTGGAGTCCCTGGACACCCTTATGTCCTAGTCACATGACCAATTTAGTGGTAAAGATTTGCTCTTCTTAAAAATCTTTTCCAAATTGTATCACAATTACAGACTTCAGGCTATACGTCAAATTTTGAAATTGTATCGATAGATAAATAAATTACAGAATGTTTTTTTTAAATGTTCGTCATATTTGAAGCGGAGAGGAGCACCGAGCGGACTCTGCCTGGTGGCAATAATCGTATTAATCGTCAAGTGCCAAAAAATAATCGATTAATGTTTTTATGACGTTTAATTGCACACGATATGATTATGCCCAACCCTACTAGCCATTTTCACGTATCTGAAGAGCTTACACAAACACTGTGTTGGGAGGGCGGAGCTAATGTAAACAAAAGGTTGCGAGGACATTAACAGCAGCTTATCTGCATAAACTGCTCATTCTGAAGGGAGCTCAGAACAGGCAGAACTGACCAGGTGAAATCTCATTATCTGAAAATGATTGTGCAATAAATCTAATGAACATGTTTTGTATAGCCCGCAGGTGTATCCTAAGTTGTTCAAGGAACAATAATAGGTCCTTTGTAATACATGACAATAATGCACTACACTATCTGCTCTATTGTATGTCCAGTACAAACTTTTACATGGGAGCTGTTGTCACACA